TCAAGATTTTTCAGCCTTTGCAGTCTTTATACATACCAGTAAAATGATCATTGGACTGTTCATTTTATTTTAACAACATATGCACTAAAAGGTATTTTGACAACAAATATATATCAGCTGTAGCAGCATCATATGAATTCTGGCATTTTACACATAGTCCACCAGGAGGCGCCAACACAAAAGTCAGAGACTTCACATGAGATTTGGGCCATCTTGTGGGGGAAAAGCATATTACTTCCTACTCACGAGTGCCCCCTCTGGTGGGGAAACTTTTTTCAGGGATACAAACTTTTTCAGAACACCGGTAGACAGCAGCCATTGCAGACGAACATGTGTTTGTTGTTGTTCGAGGAGCAGCCCAGTCACATGCTAATGTTATTAGTTCGTTATCATCACTAAGGTGCAGGAATACTTTTCCCCACTTTTTTCCACATCATGTCGCCTGCCTGAATCTGTTATTATCTCGCTCTGAAGCACGGAGGAGTGTCAGGGGTAAGCTTGTTTCAACTGCCTTTTATGACGCGGTCTCATTTCCAGACTCAATAATTTTGTGAATGAAGCCGATATTTCAGTTAAAATACATAAGTAAAAATATTTATCTGAGTATAGTACTACCCCCCAATTTTATGGATGATTTTATGGATTTAATTTTACTAATTATATAAATACGTTAGTCTTTTGAGGTTTTTTTCCTTAAAACATTGCTCATGAGTTTTTATTAGTCTGTTTCAGATAATTAGGTTGTGTTTCCACACCAGATATTGGAGGACAAAATGTCTTGTGGGCTGTCAGGAAACACGCAGCCCGTTCTTCCAGCAGTGACCCTCCTCAGTCCTTATCACCGTGACCTATGACATCAGCGTGGGAGGAAGGAGATAAAGGGAACATCTTGTTATAGAAATCAATGAGAGAACCCATTGATGATGATGGGATTCCTTTTTTTTCTCATAAAGAGGAATCAGTCTGCGTTCTGTTGTTCTGGGAGCTGAGCAGTGACTCATCTCGGTGACTCACACCATCACACAACGTGGATTAAAACTGGGAGAAGCATTAGATAATTCTCCATACATTAGGGACATCAAGATGTTTTGCAGCAGCCCAGAGCACCACCGGAGGCATAAATAAAGCTGAGTCATGCTGTGCTGTCTGTTTGAAGTGATGACCCACACAGCTAAGCCAACAGAGGTAAAGGCCAACGTGCCTGAAACAGAGATTACAATATCCAGTGTCCAGCTGCTAAAATGTGAGTGAAATGGATGATTATGATTAGTCAAAAACACAATATGTGTGCAAAGTTATGAAAACACTACTTGGACAAACTCAGCTTTAAATTTTCTCTTCTTTATTTGCCAAATTAGAAGTCTGGTCAAACAATCCATGTTTTTATTGGAGGCCAAAAACTTCTGCAAACTGTGAGTACTCGTGGTTTAACAAATGTGTTTGTTTCTGTTCCTTTGAATTTGACAAAACTGAAAAAAGTCACACTGATTAGGACATGCATGCACAACAAAAATAATGCATAAATGAATATAAATTGAAACGATTAAAAGTAAGATAAGAAATTTCTCACATTTCACAATAACCTGCTACAAAAGTCAAAAGGGCAGTGTCATCCTTTCAGTGTTACTCGTTGCACGAGATCTTTGTTTAAACCTTTGGCATTAATGGCTAGCATCAAGACTGTATGTTTGTTAGCAAAATATCTCCTGAACCACTGGATGAATTTTAGTTAAATACTTAAATTAATTATTGCATGTCTGACTACAACACATTAACTTTTGGAGTCATTTTTTATTCAAGATAGTTGCCAAAGCGGATCAATCTTATCCAACAGGAACATGGCAATGACTCATAGTTCATGGGCCAGAGGAAAAATTGGTACCAAGAAAGGAATTTTAAAAAATGTTGGTATAGGCGTTAAGGGGCGGGGCCACAGGGGCATTGGCCCCAGCTGAAATCTGATTGGCCCCCTGAAGTGCCCCTGTCCTATCAAGCGTCTGTTTTTTGCAGAGCGATGATGGTGGATGCAGTTCCATATCCAAACACTAGTGGCGCTAATGTTTCAAACAAGAAAGTCCAGGATGAATCAGGCTAACTGACTTAAGTCTTATTCTTAAGATTTGAACAATCCTGCAGAAAAAGTTATTCAACTGAAAAACAATGGCTGTATTTTCTCACATTGTGTTTGAGAGTATTTTATCTACAGTATGTGCTAAACAGTAAAATTGCATGTAAAATTGGAAAAAAAAAAAAAACCGTTTACTGTGCAAGTCTTTTAAAATTACATTATATCACAAGTGTTTGAACATGTGCGACTGGCTAAATGTATGCACTTTACCAAAACCATGGATTTGTGTGCAAGGATGCTAAACAAATATGATGGCTCCTTACTCAGAAAAATCCCAGATCCACCACTGGTTAAGATAAATGCAAAGTATTGACAACAATATATGATGGCCATTTCAGTTTTGTAGCTAAAGGCTATTAGACACAATTTTTATTTTTCAAGCTGCATCAAACACAGAATAATATGGATTCCCAATAGTCTACAAAGAAATGCAGTAAAAATGTGTTGAGAGTGGATTAAAATATTCACTAGCACAATGTGAATTGTTAATGTTTAGGTGCAGAATAAAAAATTCTTCGCTTACGTCCAGTATACATAATTTGGGCCCTGTTTTATACATAAAGACATTCATTTTTATGGCCCTGGTTTGAGTGTAACCTAAAAACATCTTAATTTCTCATAAAAAGTCATTCACAACAGATAGCCACATACAGTATTTCCATACCTTGCATATAGCTAACCAAAAAGCATGAAATAGTTCCCTTTTCTGACAACATTTGGTCAAATTTCTGCCCCTGGCTCAAGGACTATCAGCTAAATGTGCAGATTTCTGACTAAACTCTGATGTGGTAGTAGCTGAGAGTCATTTACAACACATGATCAAAGCAGGAATACACTTTGCAAGCTATCACAAGATTGCATGAGACTGCAATACGTCATGTTAAGTGTTGATCAAAACAAATATAACTCCTCTCTCAGTAGCAGATGATCTTAGTGGTGGTGGGCGATGTACATTCTTTCAAGATGGATTTATAGATGGATTACACTCAACATCTAAAATCCTATACATCTCTGACTTCCTGAAGACCTCATTCATAAATGTAATGATTAATTTATTTTAAACAGGTTACGTTTCTGACCAAAACACTAAACACCTGTAAAAACATTGAGATGGCTAAACTGTGTCTGACAGAGACAGATTAGCTCTGTTCTGACAGAGACGAGCTAAAAATGAGTTTGCTTTGACCCACTTAGAGATACCAGATCTGCCCATCTTTGGAGAAGACCTCAACCAGTTTGGGCTGAGAATTAGTAAATATAACTACATTTAACCTAATGTGGGTCAGTGTACATGTACATGCTGGGATATCATCCTATCCTGGTTCAGTTTATTCTGGCTTATGTGTGTCATTTTTAGGGCCAAATACTTTTGTTTTTTTTATTATTTGTCCAATTTCTGGGAATTTTAAGTAGGTGTATGATAAGATTAGCTAATTGTTAAGAGTATACCTATGGATTAGCTTTGTCTATGTGAGCATGTTTGCTGAAAGGATTGCTGTGCCCTGGTTGTTGTGGGGTTTGTAAAAGTGGGCATTTTTTGACAAAAGTGAAGCACTTGCTCAATAACTCGTCTTAGGATGTAAAAGATTTCACAGTTGCCTTCCTTTACCAGCAGGAGCGGTCAGAAGTAGGAAGACAGAACCACTGGGGCTGTACCTTTTTCTGAATCTTGTTTCCATCTGGATTCACCTGTCAGTTCACATTTGAGTCTAAATCTCCATGCAGAAAGCTCACCACAGTCCATAGCACACCCTCTCTGCTTTTTATCTGAACCTGTTTTTCAAATGTTATTCATCCACCTCTACTTTCTCTCAGTTCAGCTGCAGCAGCTCCGCTCGCTGCCCTAATGACCATGTCGGCACATTCGAGGGGCCTCCCAGTAGCTCGCCGTGCGATGGACAGCTGACACATTGTCGTCCAACCGGCCTTCTTGCTCTTGTCCGAAGCGTCGAGCTCTGTGACCGCCTCGACTGTTACGGCGTGCGTTTGTGAAGTCCGCACAAGGCAGCTCCTGTCTCCTGGCAACGTCGGCCGGCCCTGTTTATTCTGTGCGCCGCGCCGTGCGATGAATCACATCTTTGTGCTGATGGGTTCAGCTGCGGCCCGGGCCCAGTGGCTCTCTGGCTGCCTGACCAGCTCCACAAAATGTCTCGAGTGTACTGTAGTGTCCTTCCAGCCTTCGCTGCTCTTCATGTCGCTCGTTTCCCAATTTTCATCTCACTTAGCTCACCTTCACTCCCTCTTTGACAAATCTCCATGAGAGACCCCCCCCACACACCTCCCCCACCCCCAGCTTGTCTTTCACATTGTGCAGTGGAAAAGTAGGCATGATGATGTGGTATTAATTACAAACCTTTGAATCAGTTGGTTTAGGTTAGTGACATTGTCCTCATGAGCCACTGTTGTCTGAGCATGTGGGTTATGTGCTGACGTAAAGTTAGTTCGTCTCACTGAAATCTTCTTACTGTAACAAGCTTACATGTCGTGTTGTGGTTCCCATTCAGTGCTTTAAAGGGCCGTTGTGCCTCCTGAATCAAAAAAAAAAACTCCCTTATGAGTGTTCACGTTCAACAGCTTTTTCATTTCGTTTTATTATGTCACTCGCTTATTTATAACTGTGTTAACTGTGTGGACTTTTTTAATCTCAGCAGAGTAGTTGTGTTTTTGTTTCAAAAGTTACTAAAAGGTGGAGCCCAATCGCTCGTACATTTTTGAAGAGTTTTCTGCCAGTATCAGCTTCCAGTTGTCACTTTTTCGCCGTTCAGTCTCAGTTGTCCTATCAGCTGCTTCTTTGTGCTAAACTCCCTCCCCCCCGCTAAAGCTTTTGGAGTGACACACAGCAGGATTATCCCTCAGCCTCCTGAGATGCACTGGTCTGGTTAGACTTATCGCCCACTCTGGGTTCACTTTGGCCACAAAGGTCAAAGCTGCAAAAAAAGGAAAAATTGCAATCAGTTTGTTATAATTTAGAGAATAGAGAATTCTTGGTGCTTGGATTTATTTGTTGAGAAGCTGGTTGATTTCGAATTGTGAATCGTTTTTTTGTTTGTTTTGTTGCAATGATGGAACCCAACGTGGTAAGTACATGTGCTGAGGATCGCCTGCTTACTATTAAATCTGCAAAAGTTTGTTGTGTAGCACAGAGTTTATAAAGTCTTGGAACTTTGCAGTTGCAACAAGTTCTTAGCAGATTTAAGATTTCCAAAGCAGATGCTTTGTCAGCAGAGATTTCAGGAAGCGAGCAGCTTGTTAGTGGCATTAAAACGAAGGATGAATTCAACAGTATGATTTTTTTTTTCACAACAGAGTTTTAAATATTTTATATCTGAATTATATGCAGGCCTTGTTTTGTTGTTCTCCACCCCACAGTAGTCTGTTTTTACCGCCTATCCCTCACCAGTTAAACTCCAGGGGAACTGAGAGGTGTTTTTCACAGTCACAGAGGTGGATTGACCTCAATAAGTTTAGTGTAAGTCCCTCTGTGGCTCGGGTCACACGGCACCCTCCCACAGCGAACAGAAACTCTTCACAGCATGGCATTCTGTTAAAGCCTGGGAGATAAGACTTGTTACGTTTTCATCCATGTATATAGTTGTCTGACATGTTTTCAAATAAATTTTTTCATTAGATTTTTTTTCACCAACTAGTATGCAATATATAGCAAGTTGCAGAATTATTTTGTGCACTGAAACTTAATCATTAAAATCAAATATATAGGCACCATGTCGACTGGCTAACTGTTAGTTATTCTTGGATTCTGGCCTAATGCCAGAGCCTAAAAGGCTTTGATTTTAATAGGCATTGTTGTCCAGGATGATGGAGATTATTGTGTAAATTGGCTGAAGGACAAGTAGCTGGACCAATGTTGGTTGTTGGGATTAACAAATGGTTCTTTAGGCTGCTTAACTTTCTAGCTGCATTAGACTGTTTTATATTATAAGTTTGAATAATAAGCTATAAGTAGACACACCATAAAAAGACCAACCCGCAGATTACAGCTTTAAATATCACGGAGAGTCGATTGAGCCTTTTTCTGTAAATTCTTATTGCTAACCACAAAAACTGTCCTTCGACAAGTAAAATGTTTCACTTTGTAGCACTTTAATATTTGCAACAAAAATATGTAGTTTAGCAGTTTCACAAAGTAAACAATAAAAACTTGTTCACACATTACACAAGGTCAGAAAGATCAAATGTAAGCTTGTGTGTGTTTTGTTTTTGGACCAGCTGCTTAGCTGTTGCTATCTTACATTACAGTGTCTATGCTAAGATAAACATCCCCTTAAAAATTCTACATCACAGTTTTTACAGTATGTTTAGCAGTGAATGTCCTTTTAGACTACAGCACAACACCAGTATCACAAATGTCCCTCGAGTGTTTGATCATCTGGTTAAACAGGAGCTAAATTTTCACCCGGTTGAAAAAAAATAATGATTACACTCCCAGCGTAAACAGAATAGGAAGTAAGAACACAACTGCAGTTGCTGAGCTAAAACTAATATAAAGCTAACCATAAGTGAGACTCCAAATAAATAATGAAATTAGCCAAAAATAAATTTGCAAAACTAAAAGTGATACTCAGCTTTTTTTAAAAGTTGGAATTTTTAATGCTTACATTTCAAACATAGTGAATTATATTGTTGTTCAGAACCCAGCTAATACATGTGTAGCAACAGGCTTGCTATCCTGGCTAAGTGCAATTTCAGGCTACATTAAATTACAAAATATGCTGTTAACATAGCACATGTTTTGTAGTATATCTGCACTTGTGTTTTGCCAATTTAGTGATTCACAGAACTTCTGAAATGACAGAATCTGGGAGTTGAGCAAAAAGAACGAGCGTGGATGATGAGAAAATGAAGGAGCTTCTCAAAAAATCTGAGAAATGCTTTTATGCTGCTTCAGAAAGATACAGATTGGTTCTGAATTCAAGACCATGAAAAGCTGCTTCGGTGATTGGAACCAGCACAAAGAGCACTCCTGACAACAGTGAGTTAAAGAAAGCCATGAGTGATCAGAGAGCCACAGACTGGTGTGAAGGCCGAAGATATAACCAGGGCTGTGATAAAACGCATCTCGGCTGAATCTGTTATCCTGAAACCCTGGCTTCATCGTAACTTCTCCAAAAACAATCGCAAATTTTCACAAACCTTGACTAAAAATGCCTTCTCTTTTTGGGCTGATTGTTAATTTAAAGGTACTAAATCCTCTTCCATTGTTGACAATTTTGCATTTAGAAATTAAAGTCACATTAGGACATTAGGAGGCAGTCTGAGGTGACTCATTCCACAAATGAGGGATGTAGTAGAAATTATTTGTGCGGAACGACAAAAGGAGGTTGAAGGATGAAAGATGAAGCGCGGCTGTAATATTTGAACTTGTGACTCAGTCCTCTGTGTTTTTCTGACTCAGTTTATAATCTGAGATGACCACAAGTCATTCTTCATCAACTCAGACTGCTCACAGCAACAGTTCAGATACTTTAAATGTGCTCATTGTGAAGGATGAAATCAAACATTAAAATAATGTTATGATGAACTGTATTAAATGAGGCAGTTTGAAAATAAAATTTAGTAGTTACCCAGATATATTGATGTGCAATTCTGAAATGTGGGTACACTCATTGTAAACAAAGAACTTGATTGAATCTGCTGAAAACAGCTTGAAAGATTGAGTCATGCGATTGACCTTCATTAGGTTGGCTTGTAGATAAACAAATATAGAATCTCAAAGGAAACATTTAGGTAGAAATTAGAGGTGGGCGATACTGGGAATTCTGGTACTGGTTTGATACAACACTATATTGCCAATGCAGATGTCAAAACAAATACTTGTCATGTTCCTTGAATATTTTTGTGATTTTGCCTTTAGTTATTCAATTATGACAAACACATTACAGCAATATAAAACAATGTAGAAGTATAAAACTAATAAATAACTCATTCTACTACACACAATTGTTCAAGAAAAATGTCGCTAGTGCAAAATAACAAAGAAGCAACAATGCAATAAAAATATAAATAAAACAATGTCAACATCACAACAAACAATACTTTCCATTGCACAGAGGAACGATGAAAATGAAAGGTTTCGGCTAATGATTAAGAGACTACACTACTTAGTAACTTTTTCACTCTGTGAAAAATGAAGTGGTGCAAATATTGCGTAAACAAAAATATTGATCCCAAACAGATGCTCATCTTGTCAATACTATCAATATTTAGAACAATACGCCCACTCTAGTGGAAATATAAGAGTGAATGTGCTGCTAAATGCAAAAAAAAGGAAAGTGAAGGAAAAAGAACTGCTGAAAAAAATTTCAAACATTACTTACAAGATTCTCAATATGAGGAAAAAGTGTGTGTGTGTGTGTGTGTGTATATATATATATATATATATATATATATATATATATATATATCATGACTGGCCATCATGACTTTGGAAAGAACACATTTCTGCAGAAAGGTTTTGAACAACTGATATTTTACTTTCAGAAATGTTTTTGAATGACCTCAGTTAAGTGAGAAAAAAGTTTAATTTCGACAGGACAGATGAACAACATGTAGCCAAGACCAAAGCGAATTACTGCCATCTTCAAACAGTCTCAGAAATTTCAGAGCAGTTCAGGCAAATACTACTGCAGAAACACTTTCATCAACATCAGTTTTATCAATACTTCATTTCATAATTTTTAGTGCAAATAGCGCCAACAGCTTGTGATAACACTTCCTGCAGGAATATTATGATACTTTTGCTGGAATAATTGTGTAATGTGAAACTAAATTTTGTAAATTTGTATAAAGTATTGTTTGTGTGAAGCATGAAAGGGCGGCAGATGGCTCAGTGGTTAGCATTGATGCCTCACAGGAAGAAGGTCCTGGGTTTGATCCCCGGTTCGGACCTGGAGTCTTCCTGTGTGGGGTTTGCATGTTTTCCTCATGCTTGGTTTTCTCCAGGTACTCCGGTTTCCCCCACAGACCAAAAACATGTACAATAGGCCACCCTTGCAAAAGAGATTTGCAATCTAAATGGGAATTGCCTGGTTAAATAACAGTAAATAAATAATTTTAAAAAAGGCTTATTTCTCCAAAGTGAAGTTGCTCAAAGAGCTATCTGTAACAGGTACAATATTATTTGTTTATAACCTTTGCTTAGAATCCCACTTGAAGAGATTTGAAGTATCTCTTTATTAGTCAAAGAAAAGTAAATCCTTCTTATCGTTTTCATTAAAAGTGCTACCAGGGTTAGAAATAGTTTGCAATGTTGGAGAAAGTTAAGAATTTGGATAATTACAATCCTCCACAATCCTCTGTAATTATGAGGATCAAGAAATGAGTTGCAGCAGGAACGTTATTAGAAAATCCTCATTACTGTTACATACAGTATTAGGCTATACGTACTGTATATTCTTTTGTCATAGTGCTTGTTCCAGGACGATGAAGATCTATCTGTCAAAGGAAAAACATTAGTCATGAAAGCAAAATGGATTAGACTTCAAACAGAGTTCAATACCAATATAACAGTGAGCCGTCTCTTCTGTTTTCACCCTGGTGGTAAGATATTGAACATATGTCAAACAAATAAATATTAATCACCTTAAATGCTCGAGGAATGCCGGAAAGATCCTGACAATGTAACTGATGATTAAAGCACAAAATGACCAAACAGAGATAGTGTCTTGATCTGGTTTCTGAGTTTATACACAAACAACATTTCTGGGTGGCTGAGCTTCTTGCTCTGTGCATTTAGGAGTCTTTGAGATAAATTTGTGAAAAGATTCCAGGTCAGAGCTGAGAGGAACTTCCCTCACCCTGATGTCTTTTGTAGCACATGGCCGATATAAAAATGTCCTCTGGGCACGGTACTGTATGCATGATGCAGGAGACTTTTTTTTAACCACATGAGTACAGAAATGGCCTCGGTACTTTTACATAGAGGTCAGCTCAGTTTGCTGCTACATATCTCTGACTGTGTAGATCTGATTTCTTTGGGGTCATCATGCCTATGTTCCCTGGCACCTATGTTCCTCAACACCTATGTTACCAGCTGTATCTGTGTTGTCCCGGGGTAATTATTCAAATTCATGAAAGATGTTGGTGTTCCAGTCAAATGTGTTTTGAAACAAAAAAAATCTGAATTACAGTGCTGGCATTGTATTGGGAAACATACAGTAGGTACCAGTGAACATAGGTATTGGGGAACATAGGTACCAAGAAAAATCGGTACTGGAGAACATAGCTACCTGGGAACATAGACTCTGGAGAACATAGGTCCCAGGGAACATAGGTACCGGTGAACATACAGCGGGTAAAATAAGTATTGAACATGTCACCATTTTTCTCAGTAAATATATTGCTAGATGTGCTAATGACATGAAATTTTCACCAGATGTTGGTAACAACCCAAGTGATCCATACATACAAAGAAATCAAACCAT